CAGCAGGAAAGGATCACTTTCATTATCCGCAATATGATTCTATGTCACATGAGTCAATTATGACGACGCTCATTTTGCTTTCCGTTTTAATAATTCCTCGTAGCGATCCATTCAGCTTCTAAAATCCGTTTAGAAATTTATAGCTCGTTCAACATTCAGACCAGTCTGAATGAAACGATGTTGAAACTGTCCGATGTGTAACTATGAATAAATCGCGTAAAATCCCAAGTGTACGTTCTCGTTAAAAAGCGAATGAGACACTCACTTCGAGAATATGTTCAATGTACTCGCGAAATTTTTCGTTGCTCTCTTGAAGAAGATATCTGTCATTGGCCAGTGCGACGTTCCTGATCGTTGACACGAGCTCCTGACCCGCTTTAGTTACCTGTCCAAGATCAGCTGCTTGTTCCATAGTGGTCGTGCACAACTGTTGTCGCAGATCTCTCGTGGTACGTAACACTCCCAGGACAGCTTGCTCCATTTCAGAACTCGGTGAACCGCCGCCACCTTCGTAATTCTGACACCAAATAATAATTATGACTTCGTCGTTTCATTTGCCCGATCGATCCAATTTACAATTTCATTCTCAGCCAAGAAAATCGTACATTTCTCTCTTTTACCGTGTCTACAACCCTTCGCTATCTCTGTAACGCGAAGACAATGCTCTAATGGTAAAAAGGCAGACAAGTCGAAGCAGCCATGACTAGGCAGCCTGTGACACTATTTCTCGATAATAGACAGACGCGTATTATTTTCTCCTGGTTTCAAAAAGCGAACTGCTCGGATGCTTTATTCGCTGGTGGTAGGATCTCGTAACTGATTCCGTTTAACATGGACGTTCATTCAGATTTGCGACGGGACGTCACCCCTTTCAAGCGAGAATCGAGCTAACTCGGATTACCCTCCCAGAAGAAAGCATTATCCGGTATTATATGAGATCTTTTTGCACCAACTTTTTTCTCCCTCAGTCAATTGTTCCAGTTAGAAATATATGATATACGCGCTTTCCATGCTTCATATTTTACATTTCAGTATTAAATGTCACGGAGTCATCTAATTTTTTACGCGATTAAGATTATATTATATTTATCCTTGTTTCAGTAAAAATAATTCTATATACAACTAAAGGCCGCAATGCGTATTTAAATATCACGATTTTTATAATTCGCGACATGGGATACGACAGTATAGTGAAAAATGATATTTATCGATATTATTTTTCGTTAATTATGATGTTCGTATTTATGTAATACCGTACAAAATTAAAAAGTATCGACTTATGGTCATCCTCTGAAAACTTAATGAACGACAATTCTCGTAGATTTAATTTTTATACTGGGTCTTCTATTTTTATATAAACATTCGTTTATTCTAGAAATATCGATAAACTGTTCCCAAAAATTGGTTAAAAAATTGAAACCGAAATTAAAATTCAAATTGCTTGCTTGCTTTCATCGAATGGAATCTACGATCTACGATATTAAGTTCTTGTACTATGATCTAATTATGAAAAATTATACCTTGCAGAAGCAAGTGATTTTAATTGCTGTCAACCATTATATAAGAATTTTAGAAATTCTTCGAATTTTGCACTCGTTAAAATATATTAAACATTTCTATTAAACTTAAAAATTAAATTTTAAATTTTAAAAATTTCTATTAAATTTGTCACTCAGAACTCGTGACGAGTTAGACTCGTAATCGCATAATTGCGCAAATGATTAATAAGGAATTAAATTGGGAAATTCGTTTAGAAATTTTATACAAAAAGGACCTCCTTTCAGCCGAAAGTATAATTGATGTAACAAGTTATTCTTACCATACTGTTACCAATTCGCAGGAGCGTATTGAGCTCGAGTTGCGCCCGGTCACAAAGCAGAAGGATGTTCTCTCTGTGTTCGTGACTCGTGTACGCGCTGTCCGTGAAATCCTGCGTCCTCTCAATGACGGTATCTAACGCGGCTGTGAGCGTCTCACGACAGCCTGGTCCTAGGAGAGTCATTCTTGTGGTTTCAACGAGTCTCTCAAAGTGTTTCAACGCGGAGAACGCTGTGCTGCTGTCCCAATCCTCCTGTTGCGGACTCTGAAATATTAATAGCCGTCTCAACGGAAAATTCTCTTTCACGAACGCAAAGTACCACCACCTGACTCCGAATTTATGCAATACGCGTTCCCCTAATGTTTCACTACCTTGCGCCCGAGAATAATTACGTATTTAAAATGCTTGGTAAAACGGTAAAGTGTCTCTTTAAATTATAATTTAGATAGCGTTCAAGTTGTCTATATGGAAGTAAGGTATATCTATAGTTCATTTGAAAGCTTTCTTTCGTCCAGGATTAATAATAATTTGCCGGATATTACAGCAATTAGGAAAAAACCAAACTCGTTTTTCAAAAATTCGTCTTCCATTTTGCATAAACCGTATATATATATATTCATAATATGTGTAGAATATATTAACACTTTGCACTCGGTGATCTTTTCGTTACAGAAACATAGTAATTCGAAGACTTTCTGCCATAAAGTGGACGATATTTTCAAAACGATAACTAAGAAGTGTAAATTAATTGTAAGGCGTAGAATTATTTTACCTCGATATTCCACGCGTCGTTGGACAATTTTAAATTCGAGATATCAATTAACAATGATCTCTAGAATTTGATTAAATGGTGACTGAGAGTTGCCTCTCGAGTGCAAAGGGTTAACACTTTGTTGACCAATTTTACACAGAAACTGTGTCATGTCACCGGCTATTATTTTGTAATCCAATCTTCAAAACTACTTTCACACGCAATATCTTATATATCCTAAATATTATATCCTATATGGCCCTGGGTGCAATGACGAGTTAACTCGTCATCGGTCAACAACGTTTGGGCAGAAAAAGACGAGTTAACTCGTCACCGGTCAACAATGTGTTAATTCTAAATTAAATTGCTTGGAATTATTTTTAATATTAATTATTTTAACTATTTTTATTATTTTAATATTTTTAATAACTCCATAATGAATGCAATTATTAAAAAAAAATTTTGGTTTGAGTGTTATTTTAAAATTCGTGATTATTTCATGCAGCGAATACGTGAAATGTTTGAAAAATATATTAGCACACTATTGGTATAAGTTTAAGTATGAAGTTGTCACATGCAAGGAGGAATGTATTTGGGAACACCATTGGTATAAATTTAAGTATGAAGTTGTCACATGCAACGAGGAATGTAAACACGTTTCTAGTGTACACGTCAATTGATTAGTGCAAATATGGACAGATTGTTTATTGTTTATTATTAATCCAGTCACAATGCGAGTAAATCGAATAAATTCTAAGCTAATGGAAGTTTTATTTTGTTTAATAATTCTTTAAATAAATGTCTTCCATGTACGTTAATACGTTCGATAATATTCCTTGCAACGTGTTCTATTATGGCACTTATGTTTGTTTTCTATTCATACGTTCGTGAATGCTGCTTTTAGAAAAAAACGCGTTTAAGAAAAAAGGAGCGCTTCAAGCTTAATTATGCATGTAACAAACAGTTGCTATGTTTACACAGGAGCATGACCCAGTACCAAGATACTACGCGAGGCATTAATGACACGCCATACCTAAATATACTCTTGCCCTAAGGTCAGCATAGATACGTATGAGCAATTGAACCGATTACAATTAACCAAGGATAGCGCGCATTCGGCTATGCATTATCCCGATGGCGTCAATTAACTATGCATGCTTCTCGACAGCAATTAACCGCACGAAATCGTTGAACTTGACCGAACATCGCGATTTCCTACTTTTTCCCAAAGCTTCGTGGATTGTGCATTATTTATTCGTACTTTGGCATTGCGATTACTCACTACTCGAATTTCATCGCGGATACAATGTTCATTCTTCATCGAACAGCTGGTTAAAATTCGTCAATGAAAATTGTTACGAAACGATTCTTTTGTTAGAAATAAATACAATATTCTAACTATTAATCTTTCATTTTTATGTCCCTTTGTTATAGCTTACTGCAGACAGCATATCTGTCAATTTTTGATGTATGATTTGGAATATACATAATATAAATTTTAAAAAATTACAATTGAAATACTGTAGCAGATATGCTAATAAATTGCAATAAATTCGGATAAAATATTTCTTTATTTTATTTTATTGTATTAATTATGAATAATTTTAAATAATTTTATTACAATTGAAATACTGTAGCAGATATGCTAATAAATTGCAATAAATTCGGATAAAATGTTCTTTTATTTTATTTTATTATATTAATTATGAATAATTTAAAATAATTTTATTACAATTAATACCTTGCAATCTTCTTCTTTTATTGATATGTATAAACATAAAATATTTTATCGATGCGCGTTACCTGAACTATGTAGCTGCTATACTCATTTGGTCTTCCCATAATTTAGCTTCGCAAGAGTTATGGCGTACGAGGAACCAAGTACGATTAAAGTATAATTTAACACCTTACACGTAGTCAATAAATTCCAATTGTCTAATTCATTGTTTAAATGGTATAGAGATTTGGCAAGCCTCCGGTAGGTAACTGGCAAGAAATTGAAATTATATCGGTACCGTAATGGCTCGACTGCAATTTGGCACGTGCCGAAGAATGCACCGCAACGTTTATGACATCCATTTCGGCGTCGTTTGCTATGCGTCCTGTCCTTAACCATGGTACGATATCAATTCGCATTGCTGTCAATACATCGCGTCCATTCCACGTTGAATATGCTCCTTAAATTTCGAAAATGTCTTAATTGTTCTAGGTCGAGACATCGAATCTTCTCAGATTTTCATAGCGTGGAAATGTGCTTCAAAGAATTTCGAAACGAAGAAATAATTCGTGAATTTTCGTACATTCATCATCCCAGATATGAGCCGTTCACTGCACAAATCGATTAACTCCACTTTTTGAAAAATCTTAAATTTAAGTGTCAAAGCACTTGGTATAGTCATAACTTTTTATATTTATAATAACTTTCCCTGATAATTAAGATTAACGCCATTAAACGACAAAAATTTGTTGGTCACTGAATAATAAATAATTTATTTCAGAGATCACTTTGATTAACTCCGTACTCTAATGTAAATCGTTGCAATAATGCAACTCAAATGCACCAGCAAGCCATGAATGATAACGGTGAATTTTTTAGTGCCGACTTATCACAATTCAAGTAAAATTTAGTAAAATTTAAATTTATTACTTTTCTCACTTGCTAAATCGATTAACTCTTCCAGTAACATAAAAATGGTAACATTACTAACGATTACCTTTTGGCTATTTTTTCTTATAAATTTTGTATACCGTTAGATGAAAGTTACATTTGCATTTATGCATTCTACGATATTTATTTCGATTTAAATTATAAAGGGAATTTTAAAAAACAATATATATTATTTCACTGCATTTCTCCACCTTTTGTTTTATGGAGTTAATCAATTTGTGCAGTGAACGGCTCATATATCAAAATTAATGAAAATTAAGAAATAAAAGAAAATAATTGTTTATTTACCTACGAAGAATAATTTCTTTCCTGTATGAGACCTATTTTTAATTTCATTCCATGTATATATGTATGCATCTTGAAAGATAAAGTACATACAAAAATTCGCGAATTATTATTTTATTCCACAATTTTTATTATTAACCCTTTAGACTCGAAGATTTCTTCGTTGTGAAGATGCTATTCGAAGCACTTCTTAGATTTTAATAAGCTCACTGATACTCTTTATGCTAAAATTAAAAAAAGAAAATCGTGAATTTGAGAAACGAACAGAATAATTTAATTTCTATGTTCTTAATGTAATTATCATTATTCATTATTTAAATTATAGCATTAAAACAAACGGTGACTGAGAGTTACTTCTCGAATACAAAGGGTTAGGCGTTCTATTAATCGAGCTTCCGAGAATATTTCACAAACTCGATTGCAAAATGAATATTCGATGTAACGTAATCGGCGATTATGGTAAATTATCGTAGAATTAACGCGAAAAAGAATTCCTTCCCTACTTGCAGCAAATAATCGTATATGGAAATTAAAATATTTACGTACCGAGTCTGCTTTGACATTTAGCTTCGTTCGATATAATGCGTATTCTGTTTGACGAGGGTCCTAAAATCCGTATAGCAAAGGGACAGCAATTTTCTGAAGTGGGCTATCGAAGGGATATGGACATTATCGGTGCGATTTTACTGTATCGTACATTTCGAACGTATCGTGTGCGTGAGAATTATCGATAAAGTGTCTGTGACGTTATAGAATACAGGAAGACAGTAATTTTTCTACTGGTATTCTATTCTGAGTTGCTGTTATGGCCAGTAGTGGCTTTTAAGGTCGAGGAGAAAATTAAATTCGTTAACGATAGTGGTACTTTGTGTCATCGTGCGCTTCGATAAGCGAACAGGGCATTTTAGAAATAAATAATTGAATTTTGTGCAGCCAAGGCAACTAATTCGAGGTACGGTGAGGCGAAGAGAAAAATTTATCAAACGTTAAGACGACGAAATAGTATCATAGTCCTGTTAAAAATTTCCAAGAGGACAAAATTGTTTCATTGTTGCGCTATATCTTGAGAAGATGTTAAAGTTAGTCAAGGCCGCCGAGATCTCACTCCGTCGTGCGTTATGGGTCAAACGTGAGTCAGAATTTGGCGAACGAAAGTTCCTTGGATGTACTCCAGCTTTTCGAAAGCATTTCATTGTGAATGCACCTCTTTACGTCATCGCGTGTTACTTCGCGAAATGCATATACGCATTTATGGGCGAAAGACTGAAATATTTATCGTTTCGTGGCGCCAAAATTCTATGGGTACATAGAGTGTGTCTAGAAACTCGGTCAGGCTACAGCACTGTCCTGGGTGAATTTGCAAAAATGCTGCAAAGATAAATTTTGCGATACTTAACCCTTTAGTCGCCATTTAATAAAATTTCGAAGCTGGATATTCATTGATATGTCAAATTTCAGATATTAATAGTAACAGTGTGCGAGGTATCGAAATCAAATAATTCTTAATTATTGATAATGATAATAATAATGATAATGTTAATTATCATACGATTTGTTATTCGCTGCTCAGAAAAATATCGTCAGCTTTGTAACAGAAAATCTTTGAACTCCTATTCTTCTTTAGCCAAAAAATCGTCGAGTGCAAAAGGTTAACACTCTGTATCATCCTATAATTCGACTATTTCATAAGCACGATGTTAATAAACGTAACACCCTGAAGATTCAATATTAATGCATTAAAGATCAAGCATAAAAATAAAGCAATTTTGAAATTGCACATCAAATTATTTATTTGTCTTAGTAATTAAGATAATTGCTAATAATTGTAATAATTTTAATTTAATTGTTTTAATAACATATTTACAACTTGAATGGAATGGAAAAGTAGTTAGTGTCGCGATTATAAAATTGCAAAATGTCGCGTTTACGCGGGGTTAACATGGAAATTATATAATATTTGAAATTTTTTGGAAAATATTAATTTTTTTGACATTTTGTTCTGACATTACGTAAAATATTATATTTCTCTTAATAATTAGAATAATTTTAATTTATTTCTTTTAATAACATACTTCCAACTTGAATGGAATGAAAAAGTAGTTAGTGTCGCGATTATAAAATTACAAAATGTTGCGTTTACGCGAGGTTAACACAAAAATTGCACAAAATTTCAAACTTCTTGGAAAATATTAATTTTTTTGACATTTTGCCCTGAAACTACGCAGAATATTTTATTTCTCTTAATAATTACGATAATTTCTAATAATTATAATAATTTTAATTTATTTCTTTTAATAACATACTTCCAACTAGAATGGAATGAAAAAGTAATTAGTGTCGCGATTATAAAGTTGCAAAATGTCGCGTTTACGCAGGGTTAACACGAAAATTGCACGATATTTCAAACTTCCTGAAAAATATTAAATTTTTTGATATTTTGCCTTGATACTTTTGTACCTTTTGCAGAATATTTTAAAAAATCAATCTAGTTGAAAGAAAATACGAAGTTTCTTTAAAAAACGAAGAAACAGTGCGAAACTTTCCTCTGCAACTTCTTTCAAATTCACCTGGAACAAAGGTACAACCAAGTTGCCAAACTCACTTTGTATACTATGAAAAACTCACGTTAAAATTATGTTTGCACGGATATACCGGTATGCGCATGTTTCAAATCCCAGATGGAAAATGTAACCGAAATTTACTAGATTTTAATGTTTATAAATTTCAATACGTATATGATCACTTCGTTCATCGTTTTACACGATGCTCCCGATGTTCGCGTTCATTACTTTACATTGTGCTCAATTTTATGCAGCAAATTCTCATTGCGTGACGTCGTTAAAACGTGTAACGATTTTGCATGCAGTGTTTCCAAAATTATTTCGCGCAAATTGACAGCTACTGTGCGCAACTGACGTCTATATTGTATTCATTTTCATTAAATTACTTTGCATTGTGTGTGTAATTTGCATGGATTATTCCTCAACCGATCGATTCATCGTTTGAAACGCTTTGCAAAAATTTTTCGCAGCTTTAACAGGTCGAACGATACCTGTAGCATTTTCGCGAGTTATTGCATCGATCCCCAAATTATACTCACCACATATTCACACTTCTGAGTACCGAATAGTAAGTACTAAGTACTGAATTCTGAGTACTGAGTACTGAGCACTGAGCACTGAGCACTGAATACTGAGTTCTGAGCACTGAGTACTGAGCACTGAGTACTGAGCACTAAGCATTGATCACTGAGCACTGAATACTGAGTTCTGAGTACTAAGTACTGAATTCTGAGTTCTGAGTTCTGAGTATTAAGTACTGAATACTGAGTTCTGAGCACTGAGTACTGAGCACTGAGTACTGAGCACTAAGCATTGAGCACTGAGCACTGAATACTGAGTTCTGAGTACTGAGTACTGAATTCTGAGTTCTGAGTTCTGAGTATTAAGTACTGAATACTGAGTTCTGAGCACTGAGCACTGAGCACTGAGCACTGAGTACTGAGTTCTGAGTACTGAGTACTAAGTACTGAATTCTGAGTTCTGAGTTCTGAGTATTAAGTACTGAATACTGAGTTCTGAGTACTGAATAGTAAGTACTAAGTACTGAATTCTGGGTTCTGGGTTCTGAGTTCTGAGTTCTGAGTTCTGAGTACTGAATAGTAAGTACTAAGTACTGAATTCTGGGTTCTGAGTTCTGAGTTCTGAAGATTGATATAAATTTGAGATTCGAGATTTTATTTAGATATATAGACATATTTCAAAGGTTCGTCGTATACGTCTGCATAGGAGAGAAGCAAGCAGCCGAAATAGAAATTGACAGAGATCTACTCATCGAGCATTGTCTGCGTTATTTATAATCCCACCAACCTGAGAATTCGAATAGGACTGCGATTCGCTGCAGTCCAACACTCCATCTTTGACCACGTAATGTATCAAGTCCATGGCCCTTCGCATCTGGCAGAAAACGGTATCTCTATTTTCTCTGGCAGACGGACATTCCGGATGCCTCAAGCAGGTTTTACTAGACGTGAGCAGCATCATAGTGCTCCTCTCTAAAACTTGGCGAGCCGCGGCCATCTGTGCCCTTCGTCTCTCGTCTTTCAAGTCATTCTGAAATTTCGGAACGTCCCGTCCATTCATTACCGACCCACGTGTTGCTATCTGCCTCGTGCACTCGCAACATTATCAACGCTAAATCTACCACGACCGGTCAAATGATCGCTGGATGAAATGACAGAAGTGGGAGGTGCTCAAAAAGGAACGTGGAAAAGAAAATGCTGAAAAATTAATTTTATGCATACCGAAAGAAAAATCGCGAAAGCGAGTAATCGAAACGATGACATTGAATTTTTAACCCTTTCGGAATGTTGAAATTGCTCATTTAGGTCATGGTAGGTTTAGTGTCAACCCTTTTCGCTCGAAGCATTTGTATTATAAAATCGATTACGTTTTTAGTAACAATATGGAAGAAAATCGTGTATAAATTGAAATATACACGCTGAATTGTTCTGTTCCAGTATTCCATGTAGCGTCACGTTACTTTAAATTTGACATCGACTACAAATCGATGGTATTTTGATGAATGACAGTCGCCTTCTGAATGCCAAGGGTCAACATTGCTCTCAATAACAGTGTCTCATTAGATGCATATCCTTTCGTGTAAAAAATGGTAAAATTGCTTGATTTATGTGATAATTGATTCCTGACTATTGAATTCAAAATATTTTTTGGCTCCGTTATTCGAGAAGTCGATTGGCTTATTTGTTCTCCAATTAATTCGGGCAATGGACGTTTCATTGGAATACGAGGATTGAGAGAACGAAATATGACGAGTTTAAAGAGCTATGCAATAAGATGAAATTGATGAACTTACTTGACGATCACCCGTTAAGTGTGCCAACTCCACCATTTCCGCCCCGAACTGGCTAAACGCCTTCACGAATTCGGTGAAGTTTGAGACACTTTCGAGACGGCCAAGGCTGCGAGCCACCTTCTTCTTCGCGAGAAGAAGCTGTTTCACCACGACGATGTCAGCCAGAAGGAGAACCTTCGTTACAGAACCCAGGAGACATCTCGCAGCCCTGACGACAGAGCCCCGATCAGCTAGGCTGTCCTCTGTGGCGCATTCGCATAATTTCTCGATCGCTGAGCCTGGAACAGAATTATTTCTGCGTGGTCAACGTTACGTTTTTCCTTCGATGTGGCGTAGATACCACGTTTTCTATGATACTTAACAGTGAACGTACCAAGCGGGGTCAAGTGACCCCTTTCAAAATTTACTTTATAAATATAAAGGGAATAATAAACAGCGGCATCGGTTTCGACTTGCAAGGAGAGTGCAAGTCCTTCGGGTCACCGATTTAATTGAAACTTTCTAGGTTTGCAGATTTCGTCATGCAGTTCAAGAATATATATCATTATAGCTGCCATTATTCGATAGTTTTTGAGATATTTGCGATTCAAATTTTATTACTTCGGTAACTACTACTGATTTATTTCTTGTGGTTTTCAAGTGGTGTTGTGATTTAATAGCGACCCCCGAAAATTCCTGTGATGCAGATCCGGGGTTCGACTCCCGTCTCTAGTTGGTTTTTCTTCTTCAATATATTTTTTATTTTGAATTCATTTTGTTTCAGCTTCTCAAATTTCAATGATTATTTATTTCCAGAGTTCAGTAATATAATTTTTAATAATGTTCGAATTTTCAAAACCGAGATGCACAATAAATCATTAAATAAGTATTTTGAAAATTACTGTACAAATAATGTCGGATAAAATATGAAAAATTATTTTTTCGAAGTACACGTGAATGGATCAGCGGTAAAATTTAAGGTTAATAGATTTAAGGCTACTGCTTTGATATAATGGCGCGTGTTCATGAAGAAAATTGTGTACTAGAGATGAAATACCTCGTAAAGTTTTTACCTCGTTTGCGCGCTCATCGTGAAAAGGGAGATTTCTAGGATCAGAATGACGTAAGCATGCGTAACTGGGTACTCGCTTATTACGAAGCCTCGTTCTCAAAATAATCCGACCATAAAATGAATTGCACCAAAATCGATTTCTAATTTATTCAATTCCATATACCACTTTAATTCATTTTATAAAAGACGAAGCAATAATCGATGATAATAAAAGAAAAAAATATACATTTACATGTAAATGATTTTCTCGAAAATGCAAAAACACGTATTAAAAAATTTAATTAATTTTACTCCATATTTTCTGCTCATTCTTTCGCCAGGAATCACATGCTTTTTGATTTTGTACACTATTCACATATATAAAGGGTGTCCAATTTTAATATACGACAGAGTAATTATTATTTCCAAATTAAAATCGTACCAGTTTCCTGAAAATGATTTTTCAGTAATTTTCCGTCGCAAGATAAGAAATTCCAAAAATGATTTTTTCCCATAAAGAATCAAGGTCACCGTATATTTTCGTCTTCAGGGTGTCGTTACCGGGCGAAAAATTAATTAAACGAGCCGTAATAGTGTTACCTTCGGATGACCATGACCCGAGGAATTTAGTTTCGATCAACAGGAACGCTAATATCGAAGAAACGAGTAAAGAATTGGCAGAAAATCGCGAACAAGGATCCTCCGACAGGGAACCCGCTGGGATTCGAACGCATGAGCATGTTCGCGAGCAATTCATAGCAATTTCCTCGCATAATCGGCGACAGGAGGCAAGATACCCGGCGTGATTCGAATCTAATCGATCACGAGGAGTAATGAAATTGGAATTCGAAGTTTACGACACATTTCTGATGTGAACGCATCGAGTACAAAGGATTACGCGTGCTTTGTACCATGCGCAGAATATTCTATGCAAATCAATGTCTTGCACGTGCAGCCATTACGATTCCTTTGGCTGTATTTGCTATGCAGCCCGCCGCCAATATCATCCTACCCAGACAATCGAATTTCCTTTCATCTTGCACAATGAATATTTATCATCTTATGAAACGTGTGCCAACGTGTGACGAAGAATATCGATTTTCTTTCCCCTCATCTCGCTTTTTCCTCACCCGAAATACAAACCGAACCTCGTCCCAGGTAATTAAAGGAACGAATTTCGATTTTTAATTCTCACATTCCAGTTTTTCCACCAACGATTCGTTTCATCTTCCGGGGAAAATTGGAGAGGTCTGACTCGAAGTTCAAATAAAGATAAATGTGTGAAAAATTTGAATTATCGCAGAGTATTCGTATAATAAGTACCTCTATGATCTTCGCTACGAGAAAGAGTCATTCTTCATAGTCATTTCTTCGTTGAGAAATGATCAAAACGAATAAGGGATGATTTTGGAAGTAAGAATGACTCGTTCGTACAATGTCTAAGTGTATTTAATGAATTTTCAAAATGAATTTTATATTACAATTATGATTCAGATTTTATTTTAAATCAAGAATTTTCTTTTGAAGCAATTTTGAATCGAGATTATTTTTTTAATCAACTTTGAATCAGATTCTTTTTTTTAAATTAAGATATTTTTTTTTTAATCCATTTTGATTCATATTTTTAATTTATGAATTCAGAAATTTTGATTTCGAATCAGAGAGACCTAATTAATCGAATGCTGATCCCCGTTTCTCTGTATTCGTTTTGAAACTACAAACAATGCGTTAATTAATTACGAAATTTGTCCGTGAAATGTCAGAAATCAGTATAAAATCCACAGTATGCGCATGAGGATTTTACAAATTTAATATACTGGAAGGACGGTTGATAAACATCGCGCGTGAAAGTTTCGCTTACATGTCCCAACTCTGGATCATGGAAGTTAATTTAACTTCTACATTTTAGTATTCCGTATACATAGAGAATATGCAAAGTGGACACAGGTGTTTCGCCATAATGGCATGTTACACCTCGCGACGCTCTTTTTGCGCGTTTGTTGCTATCGCGAGGCCACGATGGTGTTGCCATGGTGAAAATTTGTCCTCACGGCACTCCTTTCCCACCACCAATTTTTTTTCCATTAATATATCGCATGTTAAGACCATAGATCTTCCAGGGTTGAAGGAAAATCAATACCCGGCCCCTTGATGCTGCATTAACTCTCGGACGGTCTTCAGTTTGGCTATGCTATACACTCGTGGTCTCGGGGTCAAAAATCACCCGAATCCAAGGAACTTGTATTTTTAATTTCACAATACGATACTATGATATTTGAAGAAACGCGAAAGTCAATATAATAATTATAGAAATTTTAATCATGGAAAAATGATGTATTTTACTCGAATTATTTGGACTATCTATTAACGAAATAGACTCAGACATAGAAATATACGGAGTGTCCTGCAGTATTTCATAATTTGTTCTTTTCTCTTGTACATTTTGGACATATCTATCCCATAAATTAGAGACGGAATGCATTACTAATATAGTATTAATAAATTAAATTTTGAACATACCTATCACACAAATTAGAGATAGAATGCATTACTAATATCAAAGAATTAAATTAACAGTGCATTCACCGTTAATTTTATACATATATTACATAATATTTTATATAATTATTATATATATGCTATATTATTTTATATATATTATATTTATTTATTTTATACTTTATTTCTTTATATTACATCACTTATTTTATATTATATATATATA